CATGAATTTAAATGTGAAGCGATTTCCTAACCCTAGATAATATTCCTATGGCTACAACTAAATCCTACAAGGCACACAAATGCATATGGTGAATTTTGATGCAAGGGTTTTGGAAAACATTTTCTTTTGAAGATGGTTTTATGGGAAAGAAACTAATCAAGTTTTAATTTGTTGTAAAGTTTTAAAAAGTTCAAATGTTTAATGGATTTTAACATGATGCAAAAACACAGGTGTTACAAAAAGCTTCTCACAGAAAAGCTATACCAAACATGGCCAAATACATGCTCTAGAAGAACATATATGTTCAAGTTAATCACTTAACATTCACTAAATCAGTTGACGTACTCAAGGCTCAATCAACATTCATACTCATTGCAAACTCAAAACTCAATGATTTAATAACTATTTAATGATTTATTAAGCAAAGAACATGATGTTTTGGCATAGATTATACTCCTCTAAAGTAAAGGAACGAATATTTGCCTTTGGTCATGATCGACAGTTGTAAAATATTTCACGGCTAAACCAAATGGCGGTGTTTAGTAGAGCTAAAGCGTCATTAGTTACAATGATATTGTACGAGAGTATGCATGCAACCCTACACAGTTGGACACTAGGCCTTGTTCACTTTGCAATTTTTTTCAACCCGATGAATAGTACCACTTTTGTCTTATTTGATAAATATTGTCCAATCGTGGACCAACTAGGCTCAAAAGATTTATCTCGTGATTTTCAACTAAACTATATAATTAGTTATTTTTTTACCTACATTTAATACTTCATGCAAACGGCTAAAAATTAATGTGATGAAAAAAGAGTGAAAAAACTTAAAATTTGGATGGCATGTAAACAAGGCCTAGCTTACTTTTGTAGATTGGAAAAGATCCACGTCTGCGTACATATGTTTCGTATCCAACAAGCTTTAAATGAAGCCCCATGAATCGTGTCGTCGTGAATACTCCTATCCAGCACCTTTTCGTGCATGTACGGTACTGAGGTCCGTTTAGATTCAAAAAATTTTGTGCAGTACCTGTCACATCGAATTTTACAGCACATGTATGAAGTACTAAATATAGACAAAAAACAACTAATTGCATAGTTGAGTGAGAAATCGCGAGACGAAACTTTTGAACCTAATTAGTCCATAATTAAACACTAATTATTAAATACAAATGAAAGTGCTGCAGTAGCCAAAATCCAAAAAATTTTGGATCTAAACGGGCCTTACTGACACTATCTCGTATCATCAAATTTTGGTCGTGCGACTCATTCATATGATGTATCGCATGCAAATCCGGTTCAGCGCACAGGACGCGGTACACTGTCAGAGCCAAATGAATGCAACAGAACAGAGGCAGTGTATTGTCTAGTATCGCAGATCTCGCAGTAGCAGAACAACTGAACAAGTCAAGAGGGGAGGCAGCAGCCGCGGGGGGATACCAACAAGGGGAAACGGCTCTGTCTGTGCGCTGATACGCTGCAGTTGTACAGTACTATTGCTCATGTACGTGTTTACCGTATCCACGGTCGACACATCAAGGGCAAAGGTATATACATAAACACTGTACAAGTAAGCGTATAGCGCGAAACGCTTGTTACCATTTCACCACACGCTGGCATGCTGTCTACAAGTCATACGTGTATATGTGAATTGTGAAAAGATAGACTTCTACCTGTGCATCACTAAAAATAAAGAAATTTCATATTTACCATAAAAAAAATTGTGGCATCCAGTGTTCCACAGACAAATTAACTTACAAACATTCCATATTTTTATTGAAATTTTTTGACATTGCAGGTATTGCTACGCAAGCTGTAACGACTATTATCAATAATAGATTCATATTCAAATTATTTTTTTATATGCTGATTTTGTTGTGTTTGACAATACTCATTTCGTCTACAAAAACATACGATTCTAGCTTTGCACTCAGTCAAATCACCTCAGATTTCACCAAATTTATAAGTAAAGATACTAATATTTATCATATGAGATATGTATGAATAGATTTTTTTTCATGGAATATATTTTTATATTATACATATTTAGTGACATAAATGGTAATACATAATATTTCCTATAAATCTAGTCAATTTAAGATGCTTTGACTCATTTTTTGGTGGATGTAGTATAATAAAAAAATAGTGGTCAACATTTAGTCGTAGAAACTTAAGGAAATCCATATCATGCAATGCAAATGTCCAAATGACCCCAGTTTGTTCTCGGTTGGATTTACTTGCCTCTAATAGGAGGACGGTTGAAATCCGGAAGCTAAAATTTGGATGGATGATACATGAGATGCAACGCAAACTGCACACAGCTCAAGCTAAGTGATGCTTTTTCAACAAAAAAAACATGGTGAATACACACGGAGGTGCAATTCTACGAGAGATCAAGAATCCGGATGAAAAACATATGCTTCCTCCGTTCTTTTTTAACTATTATTCTCACTTCCCGAGAAGTCAAATATATTCAACTTTGATCAAATATATACAAGAAAATATTAATATTTATGGTATATAATTAGTATCATTAGATAGATCGTTGAATATATTTTCATAATAAATTTATTTGAAAATATAGATGGGCTAATATTTTCTACAACCTACTCAAACTTAAAAATTTTGACCAGCACGAATATCATAGCTGACAATTAAAAAAGACAGAGGGAGTATAGTCGACCAAACTATGAAATGAACAAATAAGTGTGTGTGTGTGTGAGAGAGAGAGAGAGTGCAAATATGTTGTTGAGATATGCGCATCAAATTTATTCACAAACTTCTAACACTTCGTGGCTACCGAAATTACTTATTCGTATAGAAAAGCACGGGTCAATGAGCTAGTATCTCATGAGTAGTTCATTTAGTCCTTGAGGTTCTACACATAGATATGGCGGAACACGCCCATGAACAATGTTTGAAATCTCCGACAGATAATTAACATGCATAAAAGAAATAGCACACCGTCGCACGCGATGCTTATATATATTAGTAGCCCTAGCGACTTCCCAGTTGACCCTACCACACACGTTAGTTATCCAAAACACACACACACACACACACACACACACACACGTTGCAAGTTGTTACACCGGGACAGACTAACACCAACGAAGCATTTCATTGTAATGGCAAGCAGATCGAATTCGAATCCACGTGCTGCATTTTCTAACCCCCACGGCCATATGTGCCCACATCTAGCTAGTATATAGCTACATGAAAAAAAATTAAGGCCGTCAGGGTCGCCTCGCGAATCAAATCAAATCGGCTGAATTCAATGAAGCCTTCCTAAACAAATCAATGAAGCACGGCCTCAATTGGTTGTAAGCATATATATATATATATATATATATATATATATATATATATATATATATATATATATATATATATATATATATATATATAACTACTATTCTGCAGCTGGTCATAGAATAACTTATTCTGTAACCACTTTTGAGTTACGATAATTACTATGCTAATTTACGAGATTACAGTAACTCTTTACTACGTGATTTACTATAACATTATCGTAAATATCACCGTGAATTGTAATAACACGAATATCGTAAATGCATATTCATGTTATCGTAAATTGGTACAAATATTATCGTAAATTAAGGTGGCTATAGAATAAGTTATTTTATGGCAAGTTGCCTGGGCATTTGAGTTGCCTGTTTAGGTTAATTAGACCTAAACAAAATATAGCATGGTTATTTATGACATTGAGTAAAAGATTATGAAACATAAACAATAGAAAATATGAGCCTAGAGCTATATATTAACCATAACACACATACATTAGTGTGAAAAATCAGCTACCTCAGAATTTCACAAAATTTTAGTGAAATTTTGTCAAATTTTGAACCCTGAAAGAGAGAGTACTCCCTCCAGCTTCCTAAAAGAAGTCATTTTGGATTGCAACATGATCTCCAAAGCACAACATTGACTTCTTATTTTAATAAAAGTATTTATCAAAAAGTGATATATGTATACTTTTATTTCCAAGACAAATGTATTAATATAGTTTTCATATTTCCAAACTTAATAACTTAAAATGTATTCATGATTCGTATTTCCCATGTTAGACCTAAGCCTTGTCCAAAATAACTTTTTTTAGAAATTTGGAGGGATGCATGTGTGTTGTGGACGTCTACGTTGTACTGTGTACTTTAAAAAAAATATATATAACCAAGGGAGTATAACCAATTGAGTTGCAGCCATGCACGTGTCTTTTTTCCCCATTTTTTTCTTATAAAAAAGTAGCTAAGGGCAACCTGTCTGAACTCTGAAGTCGATTTTTATTGCCGCATAATCTTTCTGGTGATTCGGGAAAGAAAAGGGACGAAAATGATGAGACGGAAAAAAAAAGCTTGGAGGGGGGAAGAAAAGAACCGAAGAAGGTTGAGGGGACTGGGGAGCGTGGTGTGGAGAGATTCCCCGACAGCAAAATCTAGAGCGAAAAAGCAATTCCCGTGCCCCGCGAGCCACCGCTCCCGTGGGACCCACTGCGCGCGCGAGTGGGGCCCACCGCGCCCCTCCTCGTCTTCCTTCTTTCGCTCTCCAGACAGACACCCTCTCTCCCTCTCTCTTCCCGCTCTCCTCCTTCGTCACTCATCAGTCATCAAACACGCCTGCGGCCGCGGCCAGCGGCCTGCCTGCCTGACACCATACCTCCCCCTCCTCGGCCCTGTCCTGCGAGCCGTCAGAGGATTGCCTCTTCGCTCCTCGTCTTCCTCACCCCCTCTCTCTCTCTCTCTCTTCCTTCCTCCTGGACCAGCTGGCCACCTGTGCCGTTACGCTTTATATAAGAACACGCGGCCGGTAACCCTCTTCCTTGTGCCATCCTTGCCACGAGCTAGTAGAAGCTTTTTGCTGCTGACGCCTGACGCTGCCGCTGCCGCCGCGTCCGTTGGAGAGAAAGAGCAGAGGGACACTGAAACAGAGGAGCCGAGGGGAGCGACGAGACGTGACGAGCGAGAGGCGGCCGGCGGAGATCGATGGAAGCAGGAGGAGCAGGAGGAGTGGAGGTGGGGGAGGGCGTGATGAGGGTGCTGCTGGTGGACGACTCCCCCGTCGACCGCCGGGTGGCGCAGCTGCTCCTCAGCAGCAACTCCTGCGCCGGCTCATTCCACGGTCAGCCACACCTCTGAGCTTGTAGCCACCTCCTCCCGATTCCTTTCTTATCCTTTGATTCGTTCGTTTGCGTCGCTCGCACTGCGAGCTCGACTCGGATGCTTCCTCTGTTTTGTCAGCTCTGAAAGCACTATATGCGTGCGTGCATTTGCAAAGTTGATCCGCCTCTGGCTTTCATCTCCTGTCATGGCCTTCAGTTCGTTATTCGTGTCACTTCTGCTAATGTTTTAGATTAGAGTCGATTCTGAGCAGCTCGTGTAATGTTTCATCCAGTCATCGCCGTCGACAGCGCGAAGAAGGCGATGGAGTTCCTCGGCCTCAAGGACGGCGGCGGCAAGGTAACAACAGCCGAACCACCTGCCTCCCTCGATGCTCATTTCAGTTTCAGAGACCATGGATGCCCACGCGTCTGCGCATGCGCGCGTGACGGCGGCTTCTGTTCTCCGCCCCTCTTTTGGAAGCAAAAGGTCGCCGCTTTTCATGGCGGTAAAAGCAAAAGAAAACCCCTGCCTGCCGTCCGTCTTCCGGCCACTGGCTCACTCACTGCTGCATCCATAAAGCTGCCTGCCTCTTGTTTAGTGCTAATGCTAATAGAATGCAGCGGCGTGGTTAAACATGGCCTGATCTCGCCATGTCCTGTAAAAGCTCAGCACGGGATGGAGAGTGTGTGGCAGGGAACTAGGGACAGTAGGCTGCCTGCTGCACTCTGCAGTACAGACTCCAACGGAATCCTGTTCCTCCCTCCATCCCTGCCTTTCTTTCAGGCCTCCTTTACCTTAAATTTATGTGCCTCCTACGGTCCACTTCTTCCGTCTGCAATTCCAGCACAGGGTCAAGTTTAGAAATAAAAAAGTATTCGTCAGATTAATTATGGAACGTAGTCTTATAATAAATTAATTTAAAGTTATAAATATGAATATTATTTATTAAAACTAAACGTGAACCATTTTTTTGTGGCAGGTAACCCATTGCATTGGACGGAGGTAGTATTACTGCCTCCTTGTTAAAATGTTGCGCTAATTAAACTTGTGATGACGCTTTGCAGGAGCAGGCCATCGACATGGTGCTCACGGACTACTGCATGCCTGAGATGACCGGCTACGACCTCCTCAAGGCCATCAAGGTACTATTGCTGCTGCTGCTGCAAGATCAGTCAGTCGATGCAGCATTTCTGAATGTGTTCGCTTCGTTTCTGCATTTCTGTATGTGTCTCAGTCTCACGCTGCAAATTACTGCTAAACTTCGCAGGCACTGACCCCCCTGAAGCCGATCCCGGTCATCGTCATGTCGTCAGAAGACGAGCCCCAGAGGATCAGCCGGTGAGCCAGCCAACCTAGTAGCTCCTTTGTTGTCCTCTTTGCAGCACCATTTTCTTTTCTCATGGCAGAGTTGATGATCATTCAGTTAAATAGGAGTACAAAAAAAAGAAGAAGGAGAGAGTAGTAAAAGCTAGTAGCTTTGGTCCCTCCCCTCTCTGAATGCCTGCTGATACAGTAGCAGCAGACGGGGTTAAAAGCCCAGGCCTTACGAAGCTCGCCGTCCGTAACGGTGTCACGGTGCCTCACTGTGCCTCGGTCTCAGTGCACAGTCATTCACTCGGCCCGTGACTGACTGACTGTACTGAAGGAGTAGCCAGTCAGCCGGTCATCTCCTGTACCGGCATTTCTCCAAGGACTAGCGGGGCGGCAGCAGTGCGAGACAGATCCACGTCTCTGCTCGCGCATTCATGCGAAACCTTAGACCATCCATTCATGCGTTGGGCGATGGCACTGCTGCTAGTAGCATCATCCGATTCTGCAGGCGATCATGGATGTGGTACTAACGACTTTTTGCTGCTTGCTCGGAGCAGATGCCTGAACGCCGGCGCCGAGGACTTCATCGTGAAGCCCCTGCAGAGCAAGGACGTGCAGCGCCTCCGGAACTGCTCCACCGCCGCCAGGCCCAGCAGCAAGGGCGCCGCGCCGTGCGAGGCTGCCTCCGTGGCCAGCAAGCGGAATAATAAGCCGCTGGTGCTGCCGGCCTCCGCCGCCGCCACGTCGCCGTCGGGACGGCGAGCGAACCTCGCCGGAGTCGCCATGGTACGTTACGTACGTCCGCGCTGGCCGCCACTCGGACGGGACGGTTAGATTAATTTCCTCATTAACTTCTCTGATCGATCGTGTCTGTCTCTGTTATTCCTTCTCTGCCAGGTGCTGCACTCGTCGAGCGTGGAACTCTCGCAGTACCTGCCGCTCCTGCTCAAGCTCGTCGTGCTGGTGTACGCCGTGCTGTGCTTTGGCGAGCTCCTGCACAGATGGTCGTCGGGTGGCCGCTGCTCGCTCTCCCTCTGGTGCGCCGCCTGAGCAGCGAAGCCAGCAACGGTGCAGCGCAGTGCAGTGTGCAACAGTGCAAGTCCTTGGCACCGTCAGGAGGCTGATGATGCAAACGCAGAGCTCTTCTGCTGCTGCTGCACCAAGCAAAGCACCGGCCATTTTTAGGCTCCAACAGCCGTGGAGATTTTAGCTAGTCGTTAATTAATCTAGGTAGAAGAAGATTGCCGCTTTGAGATTCTAGCCGGGGTTTCGATCGATGAGTGTCGGCCACGTACGCACGCTTGCTAGCTTCTTGGTGGCTTTTGTTTGTTGATTTGAGGGAGACGTCGTAGGAAGGAGGAAGAAGAACGAACCCCTTGTATCCTTGTATAGAATCAAAAGTTCAGAGTAAAGTACCTGGCGTCCTTTTCGACCTGGATCCGGGCTGATATGCTGATGCGACGGCGGCGGGGGAGTCTTTTCCCGCGCCTGTTTCGTCCTGGGTGGGTGATGGCAACTGCTCACCGGCCTGTTTTTGCAGTTCAGATCATCAGATCCGATCCGATTCCCATCGGAAAGACGACAACGCAGGTTGACTTGATGTAGCATCAGATCCTTCTGATGGTTAAAGGTGTAAATAAATGCGTTCTTCCCCACTCGACGATTGCGATGGTCATTACTCATCAGTTTCTGTAAAACTTGAGCTGTGCGATTTCATCCAGCCAGATGAACGCATTTGTGGCAGCATAGATTCATGCTACGATGCTAGTAGAGTAGAATGTTTTGATTTCAGACGTAGAATTCAGACGCTGTAGGGGTGGGAGTGAGGTTCGTAGAGTTCAACAACATCAGTTCCTTGTGGTTGAGGAGTCATATTCCTGTTGCTACTTGCTACATAAAAGGGTTCTACTGCTACGATACAGTGTGCAAAGTAGCGAGTCCCTCTTCAGTCTTCTACACGTCAACGTCTTGCGGAGATGCAAATCTTTCAATATTTTCTTCCTCGTATGGATGGACCAGAATCATGCAAGAGCAAGACTTCAATGCCTTGTCTAACCTGATATTTAAAAGGAAAGAAAGCTACTTTCTCTAATCGCAAATGTAAGTTCATCTATCGTCCTAGTCAAATTCTTCAAACTTTGATCATCAATATCTAAGAAACATAATTTTAAATGAAAATAGTTTATGATATCAAAATATTTTTCAAAAGAATCTAGGTCAATCTTTATAAATATAGAAAATAGATTTCGTATGTGGACCGACAAACATTGAGTAGCATTAGCTCCGAAAAGTAAGACCGATGAAAGGCGACAATAAATCCTCTGTCTAGAGAGCCAGAGACGCATTAGCCATCATAACGTGAAGTACTATCAGAACAAGATTCGCATCGGACGCCCTTTCACATTTAACGATGCCAGATGTAGCGTTACTTCAATCGGCAATGATTTCTGAACAGATATAGTGCATTATTTACGCCTGCTGGTTCAAACATTTCTAATGTAAGTTTATCCTAGTTTTGTGGCTTCGGTTTTAAAACATTTATTTCTTTTTAATATTCTGAGCCTAGTAGCGTGTTACTATGAAATTTATAGGATACTAACGTATCATGATTAAATGACAGTTGTAGGTATTTATGTATTTTTCTATAAATTTAGTTAAAGTCAGAGAAGCCTTGACAGAACAAAACGACTTCCATTTAAGAACTGACTAAAGCAAGTGCGGTACAGAATCAGAACGCTGTGCACAATCCGAGGGTATCTGACGTCCTTTTGGGCTTGGATCTTGTATGATATGCTGATGCGATGTTGCGCCTTTCTTTTCCTGCATATCCTCTTGGGTGATGCGAACTGCTCACCTGTTTCCTACTAATAGTTCAGATGATCCTTCTGATGGGAAAGATCCCATTAGAAAAGAGCGCAATATGCACGAAGCATCAGATCCTTCTGTTGGATAAAGTAGAAACAGGTATAGCTATAGCTCCCAACTCAACGGCTAGGTGTATGTAAGGCTGATGTAATAGCGCCCAGAAAGCATTTCTGAATTCTGACACAGATGCATAATATCGCATAATGTTTGGGTTTAGATGTTGACCTTTCGAGCCAATGGTTTTAGATTTACATGTTAAATATTTACATTCCTAGCAGTGTACAAATGTGGGATTCGTAATTTGGTATGCCTAATGGGATTACCCATATTCCTGTTGCTACATAAAAGATGCTAATTCTATAAAACAGTATGCAAAGTGTAAGTCACTTTTGTGTTCTACAGGTCGACACCTTGTTGAGCTGCAAACTCTTTCAGTATGTCTTCCTTGTATGGACCCGAATCATGATGGACCTTAATAACATGCTTAACCTGGTATTATTAACACAAGAATATTAGTTGGGAGTGCCAGGAAAAGGCAGAAAGGTATGCAAATTGTGCATCATAATAAACTGCATTTCCTTAGGGCTCCTTTGGAAGCAAGGGGGAGCAAAACCCAGGGATGACCCCCCCCCCCCTAAGAACTAAGATGATAATTAAAATGAGATCCCCATGGATTACCCACCCAGGAAAAGTCCGGTATCCCGGAGGGATTAGAGTTTCTAAATTAGGCCTTAAGGATTTTAAGAAAAGAAGTGTCTGATATAAAATAAACACCACACTAGTAGTGTCAGCAGTTACTCACCAAAAAATAGAATTTCTCAACAATAAGCTAGAAAAAGGTAAAATAAGATATCATGCCTTATGCGGTAATATATGGTATTTACAAACTACTGCTAGAGTCAAGGTCTGTTTGGTTGGAAGCCTAGATAACTTGCCTGGCAAAAAATGTTGCCTGGAAAATTGATGAAATCTGCCTGGCCAGGCAAACTTGAGAATAGTCTGTTTGGTTGGAAGCCTGTGTCCGAGAAAACTAATAGTAGAAAGCTTTCCAACTTTACATCTAATTGATTCTAATATACAGTTTGATTGTATTATTAAAATGGTAATGCATACATCAATTTAATCTAGCAAGAAAAATAATAGATCAAATATTTTTTAAACAAAAAATTGATAAGTATTCAATCTATCCATAACAAAAAAAAAATCCTGCAAGAAAATCGTGATCCGTACATATTATAATATTCATGTACTGTGAAACAGTAAAAGCTAACAAAGGTTGCTTTGTCTTATTATTATATTATAAATGCCTCCGTGTCCCCTAATCATGGTGGCGCTAGTCCAGGCAATGCCGCCGCAACGCCCAGGCAGTCGATTTCGGTGGCCTGCCCACAGGCAGCTGTTGCCTCCAGGCAACTATTCAGGGTTCAAAGCAAACAGGGTACAGGCAAAGTTCAGCCAACCGTTTTTCCAGACAAACTTAGCTCAGGCTCGCAACCAAACAAGCCCTCAATGTGCGTTTACTAAGATGTCCTGACCTTAGTCACACTCAGCACCGGCTAACATAGAATAGCATTAGCTCCAAAAGGTGGTGCTGCAGCGGTAATAATTTTTTTTTTTGTGTGTGTATATCAACTATTGGTGATGATACTGTACACTGGAGCACCCGATCGGCCCATCAGAATGTGAGCTAATGTAGTGGAAAATATTGAAACGAAAACAGACAAGGCTAATGTAGTGGAAAATATGAAACAAAAACAGGACAAGTTTCAGATTTAACGGTGCCAGATGTGGTACTCAATCTAGGTGAGTTTGACACTGGATGTGGATGGCAAAACTACAATGATTAACTACAGATACTATGCACTCAGATGAAAGAGTAATATATGCGTTCACAAAAGATTATTTTCAGCACACATAGAAGTGAGTAGAACAAAGACAGCAAGGTTGATATCACATAGTTTTGGCGAGAAACTGGTTGAAAATATCGACACGAAAATACCTGAGCCGTCTCATGTGTAAGAAAATTTCCAATAGCTGCCGCAAAATCAGGATTTGAAAAGTAGTGGCAGCTGTAAGTTGTCACTGGGAGGTAACCACGCTGGATCTTGTGCTCTCCCTGAGCACCTGCCTCCACCTTACTCAGGTTTAACTCTATGGCTGCTTCAATCGCCTGGACAATATCACTATTCTATAAGCAAACCATATAATGACATTGTTCCAAACATATGATTCTGAACATGAGCAAATTACCTGATAATAGCAAGCTTCAAAATGCAAATTGGGAAAGTAAGCATCTGGCAGGCATCCCCATAACCGGCCAAACAGTGTATCACCTCCAATAATGTTAAGAGCTCCAGCAACTAGTTTATCATCTTTTTCAGCAACAATAAGCATCACATTCTCCCCCATCTTTTCTCCCAAGAGGTGAAAGAAATCCCTTGTCAAGTATGGTCTGCCCCAACTGCAGTGAAAAGTAAGCTATGAGTGCTTTCTCTGGATCATTGGGTCGCCACAGAACTCATTTAATTGAACAGATTCGGACTTCGAAAACAGAGGACATAGGATGGGACAGAAAAGACCTATGGAAGCAATCCCTACTTCCCTAGCTACAAGTGAAAATACAGAAAACTACATTACTGCACAAGCAAATTCTATACAATCCTAATTCATACCTACATATATGCCCCTCTTAATGAAAAACGTGCCTAGGCATGGTCGCCACAAATACCTACAGATATGCCGTGTAACAGAAAGGAAGTGCAAAAAGGTGACGGGGTCACGCACTCACGTAATGGTGGTTCTTAAAACTTTGTTGCCTCTTCCAATTCAAGTAGAAGGCAATGTGCTAGCAGTCACATGCATTTATCAGTAATTACTTCAAAGTTCAAACTCCAATCCTTTTTTCCCTAAATGACCATTTAGCCTATTTAAACACTACACGATAGCCAACTGTATCTGTTTAAGTGGCCATTACATTTAGCTCGATTAAATGACCTTTTTGCCTGATAATCTGCTAAACTTCTATTCCTTGCTTGCTTTGATTAAGTTTAGTTCTTAACACACAGTAGCACACTTAAATATTAATCCTTTAAAAAGATCATAAATGTTTAACAGAGGGTACAGGAAAAAAAAACTAGACCAACCTAGGGGAAACTATGTGACATTGTAAATAAGAAGAAATGGACACCAGAATTCAAGTCGAAGAGTGAGTCAACAAGAATGGTGCTGTATCACGATATGTATGAATGTCGACAGAAGATGAACCACCATTTCAAGAACAACACGGGAATGGGATAATGTTAGGTATAGATTATAGAATAAAAAAATACAAGGTAAGAAGAATGCGAAACCAAACTGATTATCAGTTGTGTTACGGTAGAATTTATAGAAGGCGTCCCAGTGGCTGCTCTGAAATGTGAATGGAAACAATTATAAGTAAGCTGTCCAGAAAGCAACAAAGCTAATGAGATATTGGTGAAAAATATGAAAATGTAAAAGAAGTGACTGAAGAGTACGATTAAAGACTATCTCTCCCTTATAATTACCTTTATTTTGTCTCCACGAAGTCGCTTCATTTGCAAATTTTGAGCAGGAATCTGGGAAGTTTCCAAAAAAGATTATCCTCAATTGACAAGCACATTTGAATCAATTAAGCCAAAAGAAGGTAAACCTTTTTACGTTCTTGTCTGATATTCTTCCGTTTAGGCTGCCTCAAATCCATCAGAAACTCATCAAAACTGAAAAAACACGGTGAACAAAGAATATCAGCAAACATTGTGAAATCACAATAAACTAGCCAACTAACATGTAATCTCACAAAGTTTAGCACAGAATAAACAAGGCAGTGATTCCATAAAAAATCCACTGTTTTAAAACGATGGTCCACATGCTATGCTTTTATCTGAAATGTGTCCTCTTAGCTACAATTATCTGGTCAAGATAACTACTTTTTTTTGGCACTAATAAAGGAAGAAGTTAGCCAAAATAGGTATAAGACCTCATGGCCCACAGAGAAAGTCTAACCAGAATGCTATAACAAGCTGATTAACCACTATTTACAGATAAATTATTACAGCAAATGATAGAGAGTATATCAACAACCAAGTGTCATATTTTTTAACAAATATGAGATGTTGTGGGAAAAGAACAGAAAAATGCCTTGAGTTAACAGTATACGAGGGAAATAGTAGCTGCACCCAAACTGTGAGCTTGTTTGCACTTCTAGTCCACCAAGATTTTCTTAAAACTAGATGTCCCACCCAAGCATTGAAACCCCCAAGTTGCAGTATAATATAGTTAGAACTTAGAAGTCCCAACTTCAAGCATTGAACCATCCAGAAGGAAATGCTATTAATATCATAATTTGTTAGCACCTCTTGTAATTCCGATTTCTCCAGTGATATTGCAACCCAATTCTTTGTAACAACCCACTATCCTTCAATTTGCTGAATTCACCTTCAGAAGGAAAAGTAATATGTAATGATGACAAGTTCAGCTGAAATGCAGCAGAAACCAACAGATATTAACTTGGTTCAATACATCAGAAAGTAGTCTTTTAAGAGCTATACAGAGATAGTTGATAAATAAACAAAGCAACCCAAAAAGGTTGTCACTACTTCACATATACATGAGCCTACATCAATAATTAGTAATGTGACATTCGTCCCAGTTTGAATTAGGCCCATGGTGGCCCATGTGTGTGTTGATGCAAGTTTGTAGGGGTTTAGTCCCACCTTGCTTGTTGAGGGTGGGTTAGACTAATATATAAGGTTTGTAGACTGTAGAGTCCATGCCATCAACCCCAGGTTAACCCTTTTATGTGAAGCAAAAAAAGCTTAAGTGGGTTGGTGAGTGTGTGAGCGATTTGGACTTTGGAGTGTTATATACAAGTTAACACCATAAAGATAACGAAACGAAACATCACTTCAGCATTGACTCATCACCAGCACACATTAAGTAACGATCAAGCCCTGATTTAGCAACTTTGTAGCTGCAAGCAGACAACCAAATTCTTATATTTAAACGAAACAGACTTTGTGCCCTTTGGTATACACTGTAAATGTCAAGAAAACGAGAATGAAAGAAGACAAATGACTCAAGAATTAAGAAATGGTGAGTCCTAGAGGATATCACAATGCCATAAACAGACTTGGTGCCCTTTGGTATACACTGTAAATGTCAAGAAAACGAGAATGAAAGAAGACAAATGACTCAAGAATTAAGAAATGGTGAGCCCTAGAGGATATCACAATGCCATATGAAGTAGAGCTGATAAAAGGTGGAAATAATGAAAGGTGGAAACAATGAACAGTAGCACATAGATGCTATAAATATAGGATGTTTGCTATAATTCTTAGCCACTACTTTAAACAAATATTTGCAAGAATGCTAACCCAGATACCTTGGTAGTCAGGCTTATCAAACCTTTGACTAGTGCATCAAAAACTTGATCACGATATGATGTTTTTCGAAGTAATATTCTTTGACCAGTTACTGGAGTAAAAGGCACACAAGACTGGAGCTTTGGATAGTATTCAAGGCCATAGTTGTAGTAAGCTTCTGCCCATGATTGATCAAACACAAACTCTCCTCTAGAATGGCTGCAAGTTCATAATGTTGTCGCTCAACCAATGAACAAGATGAAAGGAGCACATAGTACATGGCAAGTAGGAAAACAGGAGATGATATTCTGTTAATGATGTTAAACCTTTTAAGGTAAAGCGGAACAACACCTATAATATGTCCATTCTCATCCCGTGCAACAACATGGAAAGGTAACCAGCCAGTTTCCTGAAATCAGTCGAGACCAAGGTCCCAAGGAAGACAATAAGATAACAGTGTGTACATCCATGAATATTGGTACTGAATAAAAGTTAGAGCTAATCTTTGTTCAATCTACGGGAGTACTTTTCATAAAGAAAGCAACTGTGCAATTAAGAATCACAAAAAAAAAAGAATCATAATCATGATGGGTCAGGCTAAGCACATAGAAAAAGAAACTCCCTGGTCATAGGTAATTCATAATTTGTGATGTCTCAATATGCCTGGTGATATTGCAGACAAATCTTGTTTGTAGTTCTGTTGTCAATTAAAGACAGCAAATTTATCATCAAAATCAATGTGTTCAACATTACACATGCTTATAATGGAGCTTGAGCACTTAACGGTTAAAACTAGTGTTCACCTAAACGCTAAACACTATACAGTTGGTCACCTATCATTTAGCCATTATTTAGGCTAAACGACCAATTAAACGGTTAAACGGGCTAAACGTCTGTGTAGGCAGTAGGTGAACAGTGATTAAAACGGAAATATCTTTGTATGATCTGACGAGAATACATGGTGATTTATGTGCTTACCTTTACCGCAGAACGTGATTCTTCTAAGCTTGAGAGGAATGCATAAGTAAGGAAAGGGTTAAAGTTTTCAGGATCATCTGGATCACACGCACAGGCATCCCAATCCGCAGCAGGAATGTCCATGATAGAAGAAGCAACAGAAATGGACACCTCACGTGGTTTTGCACCCACCTGAAACGAACGGGCGATTAAGGAAATCATGAATTAGGTGAATAGGTCCTGGAAAAGGAGTTCACTCAAGAAACACAAAACACCTCTGAGGCTGACCCTGAGGGCGTATATGATTCAGCAGGAGGGATCGGTTGACGTGTTGTCGTGTCTCCCTTAGGCCACCCAAAAAGTGCATTGACCTTTAATCGTGGCGCCAAGCTTCGGAAGCCGACTTTCGAAGGTGGATGTCCCTGCAAATGATCGTCACCAGAGTGAACAAACTTAGTTTTGAGAACAAAATTCTGTAGCAGGATGAAAAAACATCATACAGAACAGAACATAGGTAAACAATGGAAGCTAAACAGATGCCAGAATGGGCGTAAACCATATGGCCACTTTAGACCAAACTTATTCTGGAACAGCCCAGGCAGTTTGCAGCGTTGAATGTTACATGTGCAAATGACTCAGACAAGCAACTTGTAGTGTGCGATATATCCATTTCTCTCCTGCTTAATGTTAATGAAGCACTCGAACAAACCATCAATACATGCCATAACCATTATCTAACAGAATCAGTATATGTTATACGTGGAAATCATGATTTCTGCGTGTGGCATATATTATATATATACTGACAATCCAAACCATCAATCCGGCCCTTCAGTACAAAACGATCATCCAAACAATTGTGCACATCAGCCTTCTGCCTCCAAATCTAACACTCACTCAAGCAGTACTGTTTCGTGTCAGTCAGAACCAGATAATCCATGGCTAAACGGGTTCCGCTCATTCCCTCCCAGAAGAATTAAGAATATGGCAGCTTCGGAACGAGGTGCGGCGTTGAAACCCTACGGTTCTCAGGAGCTCACACTAACCGCACCGCTGGGCGTGGATTCCACCAGCGGAATTGCACTACATCCGGGGGGAGCACTGACGCGGCGGCAGTAGCGAGGGCCGGAGGCAAGGACGGTGGGGGAAGGGTGCCGCGTCACCGCCGCCGGCGAGGCCATCGCTTGGTCTCGCGCCTCAGGCTCGCTCCGCTCCGGGCGCCGAGGTGCGAGGAGACGCGCGAGCTTCGGGAGAGGGAGGCGCGATGCTGACGCCTGGGTCCCGCGAGCCAACTACGCGATGCGTGGTGTGGGTGTGGCTTCTTCGCGCAGCAGGCTGCTGCGGGCCACCTGGCTCCACGAACTGCTCTGCGCTTGCGAACCACAATCCTGCACGAAAACGAAAGCGCGCACACGGGCAGAGGGGCCACATCGCCAGAGGGTCAGGGAGGGCCGGAGGGGTGTGCCGCAGAAACAGCTGCCACGTTGCAAGCAGGAAGCAGCAGCCCAGCGATGAAGTTGCTCTGCTGCTTGCCAAGTTGCCCATTTTTAAGTTCTTTTTTTCTAAGTTCAAAAAAAAAGTTCTTTTTTCTGTTTTATTAGGATGTGGCCATTAGCTCAAAAGCTCAGACAACCGACCTCGAGCCCAAGATCTATGACATCAGAAGTTGATTTCTGTTCACAATTGACAGGGCACGAGGAATGCCATGCTCGAAAGCAAAATGCTTGGAGCTTGGAGGGCAAATGAAATGTCAGTAAATCACAAAGCCTGAATCACATCTGTCGGCAAAGCAATGGATTACAGTGAAGAAGATACGAAGTAGACCAGTGAGATATGAGTTGTGACGAGTGCTTTTTACCAGCAGAGCCTCTAGAGGAATCACAGACTGGTTATTGACAATGGCAGCCCAATTCTGCACTACAACATTGCATGTCATTGCCGTACACTAGCACAATTTCCGGTCATTACAATCACAACATTGCATGTCAAGTGGGAACGAAGTTACTGTTCAAGGAGGTTAAATAACATCACATATGTACAAATTCGCTTTATTAATCAAGAAAAATAAACAATGAGTTAAGGAATTTCCTATTACCCACCCTGCCATTCTAGTTTCATAGGCAGTGGCTATGTCGGCACAACTGATACATACATCATGTTACAATTGTACAAACTTCTACAGGTTCACCTGCGGCGGAATTTCGGACGAACCGCAAAAACACCAGGCCTCAGCTCATCAAATCGATACCTGCGAGCAGAAGGTTGTCAATCATACTTGCGTGTGTACACTTAGATGTAGAGTTGTATTGATTGCATCGAATGTTACCCGTTCTCAATAAGGAAACCCCTAACGGCAACAGGCAGTGAAGCCTGCCCTTTGCTATGGTTACCCATCCCTGTGTAAAGTACAAACAGAAATGAGTTATTGCCATCATGAACATGAAATCATTATTTCTTCTATATATGCTGTTATTAACTGAACCAAATCAACGCATTATCTGCTTGTAAAATGATACCAAGATGCTCTCATCCATTAAATTGCACATTTGCAGATCATCATAATTACAAAGATAGTGGCAAGAAAAGTGATGAACATAAACTGTTTCAGTTTTGATATGAAACCATCAACTGTATGTGATAGGAAAGCATGCATAGAGGAACAACAGATTACCTGTGATCACATGTAAGATAGACTGCTTAGGCCGGCGTAAGACCACCTTCTCAGTGGCAAGCTCAATGTTTGAACCAGTGGTTGATTCAGAATATGCAGACTCCAATTTAGCTAAGTCCTCAGTTGAAGCAGACTTATTCCCAGGTTGCTGGAACTCTATCATGTGGAGATGCCTCTCCAATACTGCCACAGCCTCTGATGCATGAAGACCATGCATGTCTATCTTCCAGATGTCATTATTGCTATTCCTAAGCCGAAATATTTCTTCCGCTGCCTTGTTATTCAGATTTTCAGCAGCTGCCCGCTCTTCCTGAGCTCTGAGAGAGAGTTCCTTGGCAGCAGCATGGTCACCTCTCAAGAATGCATTGCTGGCAGACTGGGAATGCTTTGTGGCAGCCCTGCCACCAAAAGGAAAGAAAGTGGCTCGTTATTTCATTTGAAAAGAGTTGACTTTGGTCATCACATAAAACAAGTGTACAAACCTTAAATAAAAAATATTGCCATCTTCAACTGTCTTAGTGTCTGATCAATTTTTATGGACTGTTAGACCTATAATTCAAGGATTTCATATTTCTTTCTAGAATGCTTTACAAATTAATGGCTTTGAATGCTCATGCAAGTTTGGAATTACAAGAGTAAATGATCATATGCAAGTTCTATGCTAGAATGAACATCCTAGGCTCCTGGTGGATAGAGAAAGAATAGAGACACACTTCTTCTATGCATAACCCAGAGCAAATATAATGCTAACAGCGGACAATTTGAAAAACATAAGCAGAAACGAGGAATCTCATCATACCTCATCATCTTCAATGCATCTTTCCGGTAGTTTAAGTAATCATCATCAATCTCTTCGAATTCAGGCTGCAAGGGTATAGAGGGAAAATTCATCGGCGGCAGCAACAATTGTGAGCTATCTGGATTTGCATTGCCTGCTGCAGCACTTTCTGATGGTAATCCATGTGTTTTATTCATCACAGCAGCAGGTTGGCCAGATGTTGTGCCCTCTCCAGTCTGCAAGTCAGGAGAGACCATAGCTTTCAACAAATCAGATGCTTGGCTGACATCATTATTCACAGCAGCTAGTACATCCTCGATTAAATTACTGTCGGCCCAACTGTGTGCATCTTTCAAGAGCTTAACTTTATTAACAGATGCAGAGATTGCACCGTCATTCCCATTGTCGACATTAACTGAATGCTTATTTCCGCGTCCAGTACTAACAGCTCCAGAATCAACAGAAGGGCGAACCACTGAAGCAAAAGGCTTTGGTTTCAGCCCATTCTTTTCTGTAATGGAGCTGCTAGCAAGATTGGGGGCTCCAAAACTTGAGAGAGCCGGAAATGAATCAGCATCACCTTCATCCCCACTGCCATCTGCGCTGCGCCACTTGCGATCAAACGCAGCCCACCCAGAGTTTGCAATCTTCTGTCTATGCATTCCGACAGCTGGCCGCCTTGTTGATCAGTCTAGTTTCAGCTAAAACTGAAGAAGCTGCCAATGCTGTGATTTCTATCACAAGGATGCTGGGTCAGTCGCTTTATTTCCCACCACCAGCTGAGAAATCCACCAGTGTTCTCCTATAACGTGGGAGCAAAAAGGTCAGCTCAGTTCACCCAATACAGGCTCTTCGTAATTAGACTTGAGGCTGCTTGTGTTTCACAAAATCACAAGCATGCTCCAGTTATTCTATCTAGGCCTTGTTTAGATCCCATCAAAGTTCTAAGTTTTTTCACTCTCTCTCCATCACATCAATTTTTAGCCGCTTACATGGAGTATTAAATATAGGTAAAAAAAATAACTAATTACACAGTTTAGTTGGAAATCACGAGATGAATCTTTTGAGCCTAGTTGGTCCACGATTGGATAATATTTACCAAATAAGACGAAAGTGGTACTATTCATCAGGTTGAAAAAAGTTTCAATCTAAACAAGGCCCTAATATGTTTGAGTCTAACATTATTGTGAATATTGGGATTTGGTCTGTATGATCAGATTATCTCTTTGGTGGTGGAGAGTCAACTGTGAGGTAGGAGTAGCTCGAATGAACAATCTACTGGTTACAAGAGTTAACAGCAACCAAGCCGGCTTAACACCAAGGCCATCAAAATTAACACAAATGAACATCCAATCCACCCCAGAATAACAATTGCACGGATACAACCAAATCGAATCAGTGAACGCACCTCGAAGAGCCGTTATTTGGAGGCGTTGACCCACAGCTCCCGGAACCACGGCGTGGCGGGGGCCGACAGGGGCAGACGGGACGGGACGGAGGTCGCTTCGGACGTCAGGGCTACGGCGGCAGCTTTGGTCCTTCCGAAATCCATCAACGGCGTCGGTGCTTCGCGGTGAGCAAAGGGGAATTTTTTTCCTCCGCCCGGCGAAGTGGGGACAGTTGCGTTGTTGCGTGGGCGGCGAGGAGGCTATTATAGCAGTACGGCCGAACGGTCTACCCCGGGTTTGGTTGGTGTGTTCGGGCTCGATTTCCGTTTGGTGGACGGCAAGGCAACGAGCAACCACGGGTATTCCTGGCGAAAACGCGTATGCCCTGGCAACTGGTTTGGTACTTTGGTTAATTTGTGGATTCGGAGTCAGTGCCTTGCCCCACGCTTGAGCGCTGCTCGGCTTCCTCCCCAAATCCCAATCTCCTGCTCTTTTTCAAGACGCAGCTGAGAAGAAATCTGCAGCCGGCAGCAGTTGGTTCCTGCTTGCGCTCAACTGGGAGGCTATCAGTGCTAACAGCAGTGCGAACATGAACAGCTATTGAGTACCACAATGACCACGGGTCCACAAAAACTTGATGTTTGGCTTGCTCTTTGAACTGGATGCAGCAGTCGATGGTCAACTTGCATTTCGAGTATTCGTCCATGGGCTTGAAGAAGCATATAGATCTTGACTTGAGATACCCCTCTCCAACCTGATCCTGAAAACGAGAACTCGGTTAGTCTAGTAAGGGATTTCCAGAATCCTTAAGGTTGATAACAGCGTGGATATGCGTTAAAGGCAAAAGCACATAATGTGAAAAATAACGTCATATCATACATCCACAAATTCAAGAACCGAGATTCAAGTTTTATAAGAGTTAGGCTCCACTTATGTCGCTTTAACTCCAGTTCACACAATGTAATTATTCATTGGCTGCAACCTTTGTAATTTGGTAATTTCTCCTTATCCTTGTAAGTTTTGTTTTGTTAGCTCCTAGCTAACTTGCCCTGTAACGTTCATGTGTTCTTTTATTAATAATAATATTTGTTCGGTGCTGGGGAGCTTTTACTCCACAGTTTTTGGGTAAAAAAGAAAGAACCGTAATTCAATCTGTAATGAATTTTTTTAAGAAGAATCTGTAATGAGTGTTAATGAGCTTCTTACCAAAGTGGAGGAAGTTCTGAACCATAGCACTAGCAGGTACAGGAGTCTGCATGCTTATTTCTCCAAAGTTCATTCACATGAGGCTCAATTACTGGAACTGGCATGTACAGTGCAAAATTCAGATCCGAAGAGAAACAATATTACACGGAGCATGACACAGAAACAATATCAATCCTTGAAAACTCTTCCCTTTTTTTACCTTCAGATCTCTAGTCAGAGTCCGCCCATGGAGATGTTGTTGGCAGTGTGTGCAGTGTTGACACACTGCCAAGCGCCAATACCAACAACTGTTACACTGAACTTGTCATTAACACGAGAAGTGTGTATGGTATGCACCAATATGGTTGGAATGAAGGAAACATCTACTTCTTTTTAACAGCAAAACACGAGTTATATACTTTCTAAGGGCCTTGGTTAACTTGAAATTCCATGGTCTCTTTCTTGGCCTAAAGATCCTTGCAGAGATCACATTTTCAGATAATGGAAATAGTCTCCAGCCTCTGCAGTAAGCCATGAACCAGGGATGCACACAACCATAAATTATTAGTTCTCATAAAAATGCAGGATCAACCTGCTTCAGAAACAAAGTGAAAGTGTTAGCAAAATATTCAGTGCAAACCACATCTTCGGTGCAATCCATAAAAACCCCATTAAAACCATACTTCGGAGTTTTCAAAAAATTTGAAACTATGCACACCAATAGTGCATCTGTAGATGTGCATTGTCACAAAAATTGAGATTCATACTCGTTTTGCAAAAATTCATATGAAAATAACAAATTTGATTTGCACATGCCCTTGGCTTGTAGAAAGACAAAAGGAACTGAAAATTTGAGAAGCCATAGGATGCAATTAAATTACCATCTGCTAGGACATGAAGATGCTTATTATTCCTGGACATGCGACAAGCCGACAACAATTGCCTTCTAAGCAACTGAACCTCCTAAAACAAAACTGTAAATCCTCATTTTTACTCTGCCAGCAGGATGAACTTGTCAGCACAACGGTACGGGTATAAACATTAATGGCTACAAAATATTAGTTTCATGTACAGATCAATAGCACCCAGCAGGCAGGAGACAAACTAGAATGCTTACATGACTAGGCTACTGCATACCTCAGTGAGACAAAGGAGAATTTGTTACTATTTGCAGCCAGGAAGTGGAAGTTCTGCAACAGGAGTCAGGAAAGCCACCTTAGCACATCTTTGATGAAGAGCACTTCACTTCTAGTTTCTGCAACTTGTGGTCACATAGATTTCATCATTGTCATGTTCTGCGTCTGTGTATCTTTGATTTGCTGATACAAACTTCCTAACATATCGTAGATACAAGACCTATCTTGGTGGTTAGTATCGCTGGCTATGAACAAATGCCTAGTCTTCTCAACCTCAATCCAGCTGCATCCTGCAGGTTTCTTCATATCCTTGGATTTCATCAGTTTCCGGACATGCTCAACACCATCCCATTTCTCATCAGCTGCATAGATGTTTGACATAATGACATAGTTCCCAATGTCCCCTCTTCCATTGAGAACAACTGATCAGCAGCGAGTTGGCCAATTTCGATCTCTCCATGGACCTTGCATGCCCCTAGCAGGGAGCTCCATGCATTGGCATTGACTGCATGAGGGGGCATATCCAAGGCAAACATATATGCATCTTGGAGATGTCCACTACGAGCAAGAAGGTCAACCATACACGCATAGTGTTCTGCTGTCTCTACAACTCTGTGAATCTCTCTGATGGACTTGAAAATTTTGATTCCTGCATCAACCAGCCCTGCGTGACTGCATGCTGACAGGAGCGTGGTCAGAACTACATGGTCTGGCCTAATGTTAAGTTTAAGCATTTTAGAGAACAGCTCTACTGCCTCTTCTGCCATTCCATGCATCGCATAACATCCAATCATGGCAGTGAATGTGACAAGGTCCTTCTTTGAGCTGACCTGAAAGATGTTATATGCATTGGTTATGTTGCCGCACTTTGAGTATGCATCAACAAGAGCTCCTTCAAGATGGATGTCTTCTAGGGATGCTCTGAGCATGTAGTCATGGCATTGTCTCACAAGCTGTACAGAACACAAATGGATGCAAGCCTCAAGAATGTTTGCAATGCTAACAATATCAGGCTTCAAGCCTTCAGATTGCAAGTGATTAAACAGACTGAAAGCTTGACCATCCATGTCATTCTGCGCATACAACTGGATCATCAAATTCCATGAAGTCAGGTCTTTCTCAGCCAAATGGTTGAAGATCACCTCAGCATCCTCTATACAGTTATTTTTCAGGTAGCAAGAAATCATTATATTGTCAGTTACAATGTTCCGCCCAGCATGGTTTCTGAAAAGTATGCATGCATCGTGTGAGTAGCCACACTTCACATAAGCATCCAGAATAGCATTTGCTACTGAAGTTTCACCTGTATAACCAACTCGTAGGGACCACCCATGAGCTTCACGGACCATCTTAATCCCGCAGAAGGTACTCACGTGTATAACATTCAAGACTGTGACTGAATCCCACTGGTTTACCCCACGGCACATTTCACTAATCAGTACAAAGAACTTCTCGATATGCTGTTCACTGTTGGCACAAGCAGAGAGAAGTGCATTCCATGAAATTGAGTCTTTGTTCGGAATATCGGTGAAAGCACGGAAAGCATCATCAAACCTATCACAGTGACTATAAAAGGTGACAAGAGCATTCATTAAGGATGTTTCTTGAAGAAGTACTGGCCTTTGAAGGATGTAACCATGAACCCCCATCCCTGCTTTGACATCACCTACTTGAGCACAAGCAGTGAGCAGACTGATAAAAGAAACAGAATCAGGAACAATTCCTGTAGACAGAAGCCCCTGAAACAGGCCCAATGCTCTATAGTGATACCCATTCATCACATATCCTGCAATAATGGTGTTCCATGATACGATATCCCTCATATCCATACTTGCAAATATTGATTCTACAGCCTTCATTTCAAGCACTTTGGAATAATGTGTCATCAGTGCATTAGAAACAGATACATCCATTTCCAAACCATGCCTGACCACGAAACCATGCACTTCTTTCCCATTATACTCCCAAACTCCGTGAATGAGCACACAGGAAGAATACTAGCCACTGTTGAATAATTTGGAAGAGATCCATGTGAGATCATCTGATTGAACAGCGCAAGTGCCTCTTGAAATAACCGATTCTCTATGTACCCTGCGATGACCGAATTCCATGAAACAACATCTTTACAGCGAATAGAAGAAAACGCTCTATGTGCATCATCCATTGCCCTGCTTCCACCACATTTTGCATACATTGACACCAATGCATTTCCACAGAGAGTATCTGACTCCAAACCAGTTTTCACCACGTAGCCATGGACGCTTCTGCCGGTCCGCAAATGCCTCCACTTTGCGCACGCCGGAACAATTACAGCCACTGTCACTGCGGTCGGCATGCTCTGCCCCACTACGCCACAGGAGAGCATCGACCGGAACAAAACAAAAGCGTCCTCGAAAAGCCCACGGCGAGAGCACGCGGTGATGAGGATGTTCCAGCACACCGCGTCGGGGCGCGCCATTTCGTCGAACACCAGGAGGGCGTCCGCGAGGGACCCGGACCTCCCGTACGCGTCCATGACCGCCTTCGCCACCGTCGCGCTGCTCGCCACGCGCCCGGCCTTCACGGCGAGCCCGTGGAGGCACCTCGCGAGGGCGCCGCCGCCGCCGCCCGGGACGGCTGTGGCCGACCTGATCGCCGCGGCGAGCTCGAGCGCGCCCGGCCGGAGGCCCTCGGCCAGCATACGACCAATGTGCGGCGCGGCGGGGGCAGCGAGCCCGAGCGGCGCGCTACCGCGCTGACTCTGCATGTGACCGGGAGCGGGCGCCGCCGCGTGGAGCGCGCGGCGCGCCGCCTTGCGAGAAGAAGCAGATGCTGCTGCATAGCTCGTGCGCCCGAGGCTGCGATAGCGCGCGCGCATGGGAGGGAGGCTGTCTATGTCGTTGGAACGCCTCGAGTTTCAGTGTCGCGTCTGGGACTGTGGGAGGGACTGGCCGGGGCGAAGAGAAGGAGCGGAGCTGCGGGCTCGGGCTCGGCTCGGGCTGGGGCTCGCGCAGGTGGAGACGTGGAGTACAGTACAGAGGTGAGCGCCGAACGGACGGGGCAGCGGACACCGGACAACTTGCGTGGTGATGAAACGTTTGTTTCCAGCGAAATACATGATCTTTGTTAATTTAATAATAGCGAATTATAGCGATATATAAATACGTACTCCGGTGGATTCTCAAAAAAAAAAAACTCTGCACAAATCATGAAGCAAACTAGTCCAATTAATTTTAATCCAAACAAAAATAATCTCATGCTACTGCTACATAAAGTAGCACGCCCAAATTTGTCGATGGACTCATCCAAGTAACAGCAAATTAACAGAACTAGTAGTACTGTAGTATACTGGAAACTGAAACTGAAGTCTTTGCAGGCTAGCAGCCGCTGCGGTCCAATCGACGAGTCTTGTTGTTGTTGGCGGCCTCCAGCGATGGGAAAGGGCTGAACATGAACAAGGGTGAAATTCGATTAGATCGAGTAGGAAACGTACAATTGGATACACAGGAATCGATAACTTCTAATACAAATGTTGGAGTGACTTCCAGCTATCAAATGCTCAATTTGCTAATTATGAATAATGTCAGTTTTGCAATATATATGTGAAGAGGTTAAAAGTTCAAAATAACATTGCAGACAGTTTTTTACTTTTGTGAACAAAAACAGTGCAGACAGTTTGAATTAGCTTCAAATCTTGTGCTAGTCGTTGAGCACATTTTTCCGAACAGTCTTTGCTGTGATCGGGGGAAGAAAAGGACTTTGCTCGTGCCAAGAGAAGACTCGCCAGGTGTAGCTGGGGAGCGCGTCGACGCTGCACGGGCGGTAAGGGATCGCGGCCTCGACGCGGTCACCATCGCCCAGAGACACTATACGACCCAGGTACTGCACCTTGCCGTCGCCGAGATGGTACGCCACGACGTGGAACGCGCCGGCGACGAGGAAGATCACCTCCTTGCTCGGGTGACACCCCAGGATGGAGAACCGAGCCGGGGCGCCGGCCACGACGTCGAGCACCTCATCCTCGCCAATCTGTATGTCGAGCAAGCTAGCGTCGTCCCAGTTCCACCGCCCGCCGGAGCCGGAGCACCCGTCGCCCACGTCACCACTGCCAACTTCCTCAGCGTCCTCGTCGGAGAACCACACGCTCTTGCCTCGGTCTCCACCTCTCCCTTCTCCAGTGGCGAGCGGAACGCGATTGGACGGCGCGTGATGAAGCAGGTCCAGCATGCGCGCGTGCGCGGCGAGGTCCTTGTCGTGCGTCAGCGTCCACTCCAGCTGCCCACCGCCGTCCGCCGATTCTTGCAGCGCCCACAACTTGACGCGGAACACGTCGACCCTCGCGTACCGCAGCAGCACCCCATCGTCGGCGCTCGCGAAGATGGAGTCCACGGGGAGGCCCGACGAGACGTGGAGTTCTGCCTCGTCGGCCGGGAGCTTGACCAAGTCGTACGTCCCCTCCGAGCAGCGGAGCACCACCAGGATGCGCTTCTCGCAGTGCGCGTAGAGCGAGCCGCGGCAGTACAAGGCGGACCGCCACGTGCGTACCCACGGGTCCCCCTCCGCGGTCCGCCTGCCCCGCCGCATTACCCTGTCGTAGAGGCGGGCCGGGGCGCACCGGCCCGGCGCGAGCAGTCGCCTCGTCCACCGCCCGTGGGCCGACGAGAACACGAGCAGAGGGAGCGCTTTCTCCTGGCCCGGCTGTTGCTTCCCCTCGAACGATTCCGGCATGAACATTCCCAACGTCACACGCCCTTGCCTGGGAGCCTCGTCGGCGGGGAGGCCAGCGTCGGAGCTGCATCGTCGAGGAGGTGGCACGGGGAGGAGGAGGAGGAGGTGGCACGGGCAGGGAATGAGCGCGGAGGCGGCGGAGGACCTCGACGAAGATGTCGCCGGGCAGGGCGTCGATGCCGGCGCCGCCTTCCGCGTCCATGTCCATCGCGGCCGGGCGCTGTGTTTTGCCGAACACGTATCCACGCGACGACCACACGGTTTGCGTACGCCGCCCGTTACGCTCGGAGACGTGCGCGTGCGTGCCTCCTGCGTCTGCATGAAATGTTATTGGGATATCGAAAAACAAGGGGGGCTTGTGTCTACAACATACCGCACGAGACCGAACGACTTGGACCGCACACCGCCCCAATTTTTTACATTTTAGCCATTTTTTTTAAAGTTTCTCACAAATAGATCTCTGGCGGATGGCGTCGAGCTAACACGTCTCGGCGCCGAGCTCCTGGGCTCGGTAGGTGACATGACAGGGAGCTCGACGCCAGTCACTCGGCGCGCCGTAGATTTTGGCGCCGAGCCTTTAATACCTATGGGCCCCGCGCCTCTCTTCCTCTCCCTCTCTCGCCCGCAGAGCAGAGCCGTCGCCGCCACCGCCGCCGCGCCCTTCCCTGCCGCCCAGCGCACACTGCCACGCATACCAGCGCCCCGTCCAGCGCCCGCGCCAACCAGCTTTCCGGCGCCTGCGCCTTCGCGCGCCGCCCGCGCCACACAGGCCACCGCGCTGCTCCGCAAGCGCCACACCACCACGCCAGACCCTGCTGCCCACGGCCGACGAGCCTCGGCGTGCGGCACAGCAGCGGCCGCCATCATGCAGCGCCCTCCACCAGCGCCCGGTCCCCGCTGCCTTTTTGCCGTGCCTCCCACGCTTTCGCCGAGCCGGACTCGGCCATGGAGCCCCGGGCATCCGACCACCGCCGACCCGCCACATCAGCGGCGGCGGTGCCACCGCCGCCGCCGGATCGCCGCTTCCCGACCCACGCCCATCAAAGTTTTCAAGGTCCAATATGCCGATTCGTGAGGTAGGGTGAAGTGGGGAGAGAAAAAACCCGAGAGGGACGAGAAAGAAGAAGAACGCTTGGGCAGGAAGGTTGAGCCTGGTGTTAAATGGCAGAGAGCTCGGCAGAGTGACTGGCGCCGAGCTCCCTGCCATGTCACCTACCGAGCCCAGGAGCTCAGCGCCAGTGTCCCTGGCGCCGAGACGTGTTAGCTCGGCGTCAGCATCAATGGCGCCGAGCTAAGGGTCCATTTTCTGAATTCTTTCCGCCAGGAGTCTATTTGTGAGAAACTTAAAAAAAAAGGGCTAAATGTAAAAAATTCGGGCACACCGCACCTCGGCCACCCTACCGTACCGTGGACGGACTGAACGCCGATGGCTCGAGGCCGCGTCCACCACGTAACGTGACAAGCGCATGCAGAACCTCGAGACAACTTGGCAAAGAGGAGATCAGTTGAGGGCTCTTCTTCTTTGTTCTCAAAAATCAAATTTGAATCTATCAATCATCTTTTCTTTGACGTGCTGCATTTTGTTAGGGAAATTCTGAACTGCTAGGCCGTAGAGTGGGCTTTAACTTTCTGTAGCGAGACTTTGAGTGTGCAACAAAAAGTTTATATAGTTGTTAATGATGTTTGTTGTGCAACCAACTCCTAATTATATGAGTCCGTCTAAAGGGCACTCCAGCGTTTTAGCCCGTTCGCTTCGCTGAAAAAACAAACCGAAACACTGTTTCAGCTGAAAAAACAAGCTGAAAAAGACGGATTTTTGTGTTTTTGTAATTTACTGTTTGTTTTTTTCCCTCGTTTGTGCCGCCTTTCTAAAAAGGACATGTGGAGTAATTTATACTCATGCTATTTCGGTGCCTAGGATGGGAATGTTCGTGACGCAACTAGCGACAATGCTTTTTCTTAGGCGGGTGAGCCTCGAATTCGTTTTCGCCTATCACGCATATACTCTTTACGTTTTGTTGGTTACTAAAGTGGAGTCTGGCCCGTACGTTGCAACGGGAGAAAAACTAAATATTAGTAGAAAACGACAACAAAATACTATATATCTATTCATGTTTAACCATTTTTATAAAATTTAAAAGCTATAATTTATTTATGATGACCATGACATCCCAATAATATGATAATGTCCTACTTAGATGTATCAAAATAAAATACAACATTAATAAAAGAATTTCTCCCATCCCAAAATAATGAAATATTCACTCGCAAATATATCGTAACTTTATTTTTTATATTATTGAACTATTTGATTAATTGGACCATTGATTGATCCATTCGCACACATGGAGATGGAGTCAGGAGATGCAAACACACCTTACGGGGCCAGCCGCCAGCGAGATGCGACGAACGCGACGTGACTCTGTCATTGTGTCAAAGCATCAATCAAGTAGAAATTAAGAACACGGCTTGGTAATTTATTGCCTCCTTTTGAAGACACTCAGCAGCGGCTCCGTGGTCTCGACGTAAGCGCGAAGGTCCTAAGGCGGTAGCCGTCGTTGCGGTAGGCCGGCACCGTTCCCTGCTCCCTGATCCGCAGCGACATCACCTCGCCGCTCTGCAACCTCCCTCCCAGCAACGTCGTCGGTAAAGATGGCAACGGGTAAAATCCGCACGGATACAGGTATCACAAACCCGCACCCGCGAGGATATTTGTGTGCCCACGCCCGCCACCCGCCACGGGCAGTACTATGCGCCCATGTCCACTATCCGCGGGCATGCCCGCATACCCGCAAGAAGCGGGGATCTAGCCATCTGGGGGAGGCGCGCGCCCGGCGTCCGGTGTCGGGGACGGGGAGGCTGGTGTCCGGGACGGGGAGCCACAAGTGGGGATCTGAGGGAGGCGCGCGCTGCGAGTGGAGGAGGTGAGGAAGGCCGGTGTCTGGCGTCGGAGTAGGGAGGCGTGCGGGCGGCGTGGCGGCGTCAGGGACGCGGAGCCGCGAGCCCGCGACTGGGGATCTGGGGGCGTGCGCCTTGAGTGGAGGAGGCGAGGAGCCGCGCCGCGCTCGCCGATCGCCGCGAGTGGAGGAGGCGAGTAGGTCGCGCCGCGCTCGCCGATAGCCGCGATTGGAGGAGGCGAGGAGGTCGTGCCACGCTCGCCGCGAGTGCACAAGCCGTGACCTGCGACCGTGAGTTGGGGTTGGGGAGGCAGGGACGCAGGGTCGAGTGGGTGACTGGCGGCCACTGGTGGAGTGGTGGGAGTGGGATTGGGATGAAGGAAACCCTAGAATCGGAAGCATATATATACCTCTTCTACAGTGGCCCCACATGTCAGTGCAGGTTTGCGGTTGCGGGCATGGTATTTTCTTACCCGTCTAGCTTTGCTCGTTGGGCACAACTCTGTACCCACGCTTGTGCCCGTGGGCACAGGTTCGCGCCCGTATCCTCGCCCACCGGTTTGGGTGCCCGCGGGTACGTGGATTTTTTCTGCCCGTTGCCATCTTTAGTCGTCGGTGTCACGCATCCTATGTTGTGTTGTGCGCGATCACGTGCTTCTGGTTGTTATCGTCCGCGATCACGGTGAGCACGTAGCCGCCGAGCGCGAAGTGTGAGCCCACGGGCCGCTGCCACACCCCCATCTGCATCTGCACGCTGTACTGCCGCTCGAGAACCTAGACCTCGGTCTTCGTCGGCACCTGTCTATCAGCGCAGACACCGAGCCCCAGCCTGCGAGTTCATGGGCGTGACGGATTATGTTTCGGAGTCCTTCTACAACTTGATCGTGGAAGGCTCCGAGACCGTCTCCGATTCTGACTCCGGTGGGGGGAGCCACCACCCCTCGCGCGAGTGCTTCATGGCGGGAATCCACGACGTGCACGACAAAGGTGTCCACGGTGGGGAAGCCACTCCCTCGAATGGCTAGGACGACAAGGCCAAGGGGGACACAAGGGCCCCGTGCGTGGGGCAGTTGCGGGCGTGGCAGAAGGAGCTCGAGGACGCGCAGCTCCAGCTGGAGCAGGAGCAAGCAGAGCTCGAGCGCGAGATCGCTCACAGCGCGGACGGTGGGCACGCACGTGCCATGGCCCGCGACGTACACAGGAGGATCATCGAGGATGACGATGGCCTCCCACACTTCGCCCGCGCCAGTCATAACATAGCCGCGGTGGCGGCTATGATCCAAGGCATGCCAGGGCCCGCGACTCCCGATGAGCGCCGAGCTCATCAGGAGATACGCACGTTTCTTGAGAGAGCAGTGGTGCAGCAGGCAGAGAGCTCGTTGTCTCGGCGACGCGAGCTTGATGCCAGCCAGCGTGCATTCTCAGGACGTCGCGCCAGGGACGTATCCGTCCACCAGGCGCCCTCATCGTAGGGTGGTAGAAGGCCCGTCATGGCCCCGATCCAAGGGCATCTCGGTCGCGACTGTGATGCTTGGTTCACCCTGAACGCCTGAAGGCATGCACATGGTGATAGAGGTGAGGCAACCAACCGTGGCTACCACCCTCGCCGCGGTGGGCGCTACGACCATGAGGAGGACCAGAGTCATAGCCCTGAACCAACGGGGCCCTAGGCTTTCGGTTGGCATATCCTCAAGGCGGCGCTCCCGCCCCGATACTGCCCGCCGACTAACATCCCGAAATACTCTAGGAAACGAACGCCGACTTATGGCTCGAGGACTACCGGCTCGCCTGCTAGGCCAGCGGTGCAGTCAATGACGAGTTCGTCATCTGCAATCTCCCCCTGTTCCTGGCTGACTCGGCGCGAACATGGCTAGAGCACCTTCCGCCTAACTGCATTCAGAGTTGGGCGGACCTGAAACAAATCTTCGTGGGGAACTTCCAGGGCTCTTACGCGTGCCCTGGGAACCCCTGGGACTTGAAGAACTGCTGACAGAAGTCAAGAGAGACTCTCCATGAGTACATCCGACGCTTCTTCCGGCAGTGCAACGAGCTCTCCAATGTCGCCGATGCCGACATCATTGGAGCCTTCCTATCAGGGACCACCTGCGA